TATGATGGTCAGTTGTGATGTGCTGTGATGGTCAGATGTGATGTGCTGGTGATGGTCAGATGTGATGTACTGTGATGGTCAGATGTGATGTGCTGTGATGGTCAGATGTGATGTGCTGTGATGGTCAGATGTGATGTGCTGTGATGTGATGGTCAGATATGATGTGCTGTGATGGTCAGATGTGATGTGCCGTGATGGTCAGATGTGATGTGATGTGATGTACTGTGATGGTCAGATGTGATGTGCTGTGATGGTCAGATGTGATGTGCTGTGATGGTCAGATATGATGTGCTGTGATGGTCAGATGTGATGTGATGTGATGTGATGGTCAGATGTGATGTGATGTGATGTGATGTACTGTGATGGTCAGATGTGATGTGCCGTGATGGTCAGATGTGATGTGATGTGATGTGCTGTGATGGTCAGATGTGATGTACTGTGATGGTCAGATGTGATGTGCTGTGATGGTCAGATGTGATGTGCTGTGATGGTCAGATATGATGTGCTGTGATGGTCAGATGTGATGTGATGTGATGTGATGGTCAGATGTGATGTGATGTGATGTGATGTACTGTGATGGTCAGATGTGATGTGCCGTGATGGTCAGATGTGATGTGATGTGATGTGCTGTGATGGTCAGATGTGATGTGCTGTGATGGTCAGATATGATGTGCTGTGATGGTCAGATGTGATGTGCCGTGATGGTCAGATGTGATGTGATGTGATGTACTGTGATGGTCAGATGTGATGTACTGTGATGGTCAGATGTGATGTGCCGTGATGGTCAGATGTGATGTGATGTGATGTGATGGTCAGATGTGATGTGATGTGATGTGATGTACTGTGATGGTCAGATGTGATGTGCCGTGATGGTCAGATGTGATGTGATGTGATGTGATGGTCAGATGTGATGTGATGTGATGTGATGTACTGTGATGGTCAGATGTGATGTGTCGTGATGGTCAGATGTGATGTGATGTGATGTGTCGTGATGGTCAGATGTGATGTGATGTGATGTGCTGTGATGGCCAGATGTGATATGTCATTCAAAATTAATGCAAGTGTGCCACATTTTGTTTTATTCAATGTGAGCAAGAACTAATAGAAATTGAACTTGGCTTCAGATTAAGATTATTTACAGGTTTGAAAGTATTTGCC